CATTAAAAATTCCGAAGTCTTTTGCATTTTTTAAATGTAAGAAACTCTTTTTTGAATCGATAATACTTATTTGTTAGTTTATAATTATTTATAACTGTTGTAAACACATTATATTTGCACTTTAAAATTGAGAAATATTCAATTATAATCCTTTCAGTCACGCAATTCAATCTTTATTTTAAAAATGTAAATGTACGGTCTCCTTATATTTTTCAACGCTGAATCTGAATCCTATATAAAAACTCAAATAAATCCAAACGTAACCCCTATAATAAAGTAAAATGGAATTATAATATAAATATACTTATACATCTACTATACTTTTTTTCATAATATTAATTTCTTGATTCATTGATTAATAACTTTTTTTTTAATTATTACATTTAAAATTTTTACATTTGAAATTACTTTATTTTTACTTTTACAAGAACAAAATTTCAATTTTGTGACTGAATGGTAGTTTTCACTTCATTTTAGAGATTGTTTTTATTTATTTTTTTAACAAAGCAAATTGACTTATTACGTAATTAAAAGAGTTGAAATATGTGCTACCTCTATTAGAAAAACATGGCCTCTTGATACATATACTGCATCACTGACGATATTTTTTAAACCAAAGATATCTTATTATTTTCTAAGATAAGTTACTATTTATATAGTGCTATTTGAAAGAATAAGATTTTTTCTACAATACAAGTATTTTTGTATTTCGGGAAAATTTGTTACAGGGTAGGTTAGTCTTCATTTCAGATGTCTTTAAGCTCAACTCCAAAAGCCCATGTTGAATATACACTGACGTCGGACGACTTTTCCCCACTCTAGATCAAAATGAGCTAAACTTCAAAGTTTTATATCTCGGTTCCACAACATACTAGAGCAACGGCAAGATATGGCTTTAAGGATATTTTGTAGAGCTTTCGAACCGTATGAAATAAATATATGATTTTCCTTTTTTTATCGGTTGTGACAACATAAAAAAATTAATTTTTTCCGTTTTTTTTTCTCGAACTTTAAGGCAATGGTCTTTTGCGGAAAGTTATCGGAGAAGAAAATTAGAGATATCAATCAAAAGCTCGTTTGAAAAGCTACAAAATCCATGTGCGAATAAATTTTTTAAACTTGTTTTTTACGAGCTACATATCGTTTTACAAAAAACTGACTTTTTTATAAAATTCGTTGTATCTCTAAAAGTTGTGATTATAAAAAGAAACTTTATTAAAAAAAATGTTGAATTTTTTAAGAATCAACTGCCTATTAACTTGAAATATTAAAAGCGAACATTTTTTTTAACGAATAGTTACGAATTTTATGTGATAATTAAAAAAAAAACGTTGAATTTATGTATTTGTTTTAATATAGCTATTTATTAGTGTTAAGAATTTAGTCAATCGATAATGATTAGTATTAAAAAGTGTAGCTAGCTGGATATCAAATTGAATTTTAAAAATTTCTGTGCATATTTGTACTGCGACGTTTTATATGTTAAAAAATTAATTTATGTTATTAAAAAAATTTGATTTATGTTAAAAAATGAAAAGGAATTGACAAACTAATATAGCAATTGTGTTATTTCTGTTGTTAATTATCTAAGTTTTCTTTTATATAATATAATCACACATTAAATACATTTTTTTGTCTTGTGACGGCGTGGAATTCCGTTTTATTTTCTTTGTCTCGCCCGATGCGCAGTCTTACTGGAATGCGCGCAGCGAAATCGAAATAATTAAGTTTTGCTAGCTAACCGAGGAGCAGGAAGGACAGGTGTCAATCAACCAACTTATTAATAACAAAGACAACAGTAAATTAACGTTTCAGTCAGGCACAGACTGGTTTATTCATCACGTAATCTACAACGCACTTGGCCCGCGCATTTACACTTATTCGATGCGCGCGACAATCTTGTGCGCCGGCAGTTCATTTATGGTCGCTCAATCGAAATATTCGCTCGCGCGTTTACGTTTCTTTGAGCCTCAATATTGAGGGGAGAATTATTACGCGCGGCTATTCAACAAAAATGGTGACGCGAAGCTGGCCAGCTTACCTTAAGTGAATAGTCGCGCTATCAAGGGGAGCAGATCAGTATCGCCTCTCAATACGTAGCTCAGGTTACCGCTTTTCCTAATTGGAAACGAGGTTTTCTCTGACGTCCTGTCAATCCCGTCGGACAGATTATACGACCTTGTTGGCCTACGATGGCGTTATCGTCGATCACTCGAGACAGCAACAATAACAAAAATTATCGACAATCTAGCTTCCGCACTCTTTTCAATGTTCGTATTCGCGCACGTCGCTAATTCAACTCGTTGTACTCCTAGATCCTATGATGGCTATTCTTCAACTGACTCCTCTGCCTTCGCGCGCGTTCCCTCCCAAATCGGACTGAGTGCCCGTTTTCCACTTCTTCCGGCCGGTAGGTGCTGCCCTCGTAGGTAGCCGTGTGATCGAGACGGTAGCGCAAACAAGACGTTTGCCGTCACAGTCTAAAAAGATTACTAAAAAAATAAAAAAAATGTTCGTTTTTTATCATTTATATTTTAAATTAATATGCAGTTAGTCCTTGAAAAATGCAAATTTTTTTTCTATTACAGTTTTTTTTTAAATCATAATTTTGAGAGATACAACGAATTTTATAAAAAGGTTAGTTTTTTGTAGAACGATATGTAGCTCGTAAAAAACAACTTGAAAAAATTTACTCCCATATGGATTTTGTAGCTTTTCGAATGAAATTTTGAATGATATATCTAGTTTTCTTGTCCGATAACTATCCGAAAAAGACCATCGCCTTCAAGTTTGAGAGAAAAAATGGGAAAAATTAATTTTATTTATGTCACACAACCCATAAACAAAGGAAAATCATATATGTATTTCATATGGATTGAAAGCTCTACAAAAGACCTTTAAAATTATATCTTGTCGGTTGCTGTAGCATGTTTTGGAGCCGGGATATAAAAGTTTGAAGTTTTGCTAATTTTGGTCTAGGCTGAGCAAAAGTCATCTGATGGCAGTGTACAATCTTTTAAGCTATATATTTGAAAATTTTTCACGATAAATGACATTATGGATAATGCCATTTGATTCAGCACATTTCAATCTATAAAAAAAATTCTGTCTAATTGTAAGTTCGAGGATTTCCACGCAAGGACCCCTTTAAATCTTCGCAGTATACGAAGTCAAATTATTGATTAGTAATAAAAAATATTAGCATAATCTTAATTCATAGCTATTTGTTTTTCGAAATTATTTATTTCGCGTGCCTATAATCAAATGTGTCTACTTGATATGTCATATTACATTATGCTTGAGCCACCGACGTCACGAATAAACTGCGTTCACTCATCAGTCCATCAATCTTTTTAAAAAGGATGTATGAAATAACATCTCAAAATTATCATGGATAAATAATTGAAAAATAACAAGTAGATCGATTGCTATACGTAAACATTTGGAAATTTATTTATTTTTTTAAATTACCGCACTAAATTAGTCAAAACTAATTTTGTCAAAGAAATATATCTTATCTTCAGATATTTTTTAAGAGTTATTAAATTAGAAATCTGATAGTTTAATTTATGTCGAATAAAAAGGAAAAACGTAGTACACTGCTTAATACGTAAGCACTGTCCACTAAACACTTAGAAAGGTACAACGTTATTAGAACTTTTTACTAAATCTACGAATATCATAATTAAATTTTTATTTGTCAATTAATATTGAGGTATATTAAAAATTTGATTTCAATCAGCGTGGATATTCACACTGCGTATATTTATAGTGTGTGTGTGTGCGTGTGTGTGTGTATGTGTGTGTGTGTGTGTGTGTACAATATATGTTGGATATATAGGTTATTCTTTATCAGGCGATCCTCTGTCTCTCTTCAAAATTCTAATGACCCTAGAATATCATGAGTGGGCTTTTTATATGCATATTTACTTTATGATGCAATGTGACCATTTTGAACATTCAAGATGGTGGCTCAAACATAGGCTGATCCTGAAAATTTTTAAAATTCGGCGACATGTCGTTGGATTCTAATGCTACTTTTTTTTTAAGACTAGCAATAGATTGAGCATCAATTTTACATTAATATATGTTGTTACGCCCAAGATCACGATCAAGTTTCCACGGTTATTTGACCTTCAAACAGATTTATTATTCGCATTCCTCGAAATACTACCATTGTAATGTTTCAAGAATTATAAACCTCGTGTTTCATATTTAATTTACAGTTGTGAGTTAGACTATGACTAAACGTACTATTTTTTAGTACAATGAGAGATTCAAATTGTTTTTGCAGAAAAATACTATGTTTTTTATCATTGTTTGTAAAATAGAATAACATTTATCTTTGTGATATTATACTTGTTGAGTGTTATATAAAGTTGACGTTGTACATATAATTTAATAAATTATTATTGCATAATATTTTGAAAACTAATTCTAGATATTCATCACGCGTAACCTATCAATATAAGGGGAATAGTTTGAACTTCTCATACATTATAAAATAGCATAATTAGTTATATTATAACTGACAATTGTAAATTAAATATAAAACATGAGATTTATAATTCTCGAAACATAAAGGCAGTATTTCAAGTAGCGCGATTGAAAATATGTTTGAACTTCAAATGATCTTGGAAGCATGATCGCGACCTTGAATGCAATAGCACTTATCAATCTAAAATTCGACGCTGAATCTATTGTCGGTCTCAATAGATAATTAGGACTAAAATCCAATGAGATAACGCTGAATTTCAGAAATTTTCCAGGGTTAGTTTGTGTTTTAGCCGCCATCTTGAAGCCACCATATTAGATTTTCAAAATAATCACATTGCATCATAAAGTACATATGCATATGAAAAGTTTTTCTAAAGTTACTGGAATTTTGGAGAGCGAGAGGGAGAGAGGGTCCCCCTGACAAATAATCACATATATATATATATAATGAATATATAACTTTTTAACTTTAATGATATTTTACATATAACTTTAATCTCTAGGGAACATCTCGGCCATCTCATTATCATGTTCTTTGGGATGATAACCACTTTGAAAGTGATGAACTACAATGTCTTACGTATCAGCTCTGTCATACGTACGTCAGGTGCACTAGGTCTGTCAGTATACCGGCACCTGCTTATTATGCTCACTTAGTTGCTTTTAGAGCAAGGTATCATTTAGTTGAAAAAGAACACGATAGGTAAGGTTGAATATTCCTCTCTTGAAAATTATTTTATTTTATAAGTATAGATTATATAATTGCATATTTTTTAAATTAATTTTTAGTGGTGAGGGATCTCACCAATCCGGTTGCAGTGAAGATAGGACACCTGGAGCCATGGCAAGAGCAATAACAGTACATGCTGACACTAAAAGAGTCATGTACTTTGCATAAATAGTGTACTTGTCTAAGTTCTAAAATACCTGTCATAATGTATAAGAAGAAAATTGGTGAAATAGAACAACGTAATTGCTGACTATCAAACTAAAGCATTTCCAGGACTTTAAAACATGTCAAACTTTGTTCAAATTTCAATCCAGTCCATTAATTTATTTTTATTATCCTATTTTTGTCAATTGTTTTCTAATCTATTCCATGTCACTAAATATGTATATTCATCATTAACTTTTGTTGTAGTTGTGAATCCAATTTTTATTACTAATAATATTAGTATGTTACTGATTATATATAATAATCAGTAACATTGGTATATTACTGATAATAACCATCATTATCATATTTATTAGGATAATACGGTAAACGTTTGAACATCTTAATATTTATTTTCAAACATCTTAAAACTGATTGTACGTCATTGCCAAAATAATTTATGTGATTCAAATTACTTTTAGGTACTTACTGGTACGGTCGGCAGAATTAAGTTCTGTCGATATCTCACATTTTTGTAGAAGTTATAAACGAATGATTATAACATATTTTGTTCAATTTTTCGTTTATTTTCGTTAAATTTTTGTTTAATGGAAATTAATTGATGAAAATCTGTAGTTAATGTTGAAAACTGTAATTTGATTTGTCCAATTAGAGTCTTCAATTATAATAGTATTTTAATTTAATAAAGGGGAGAGTCAATTTTATAAAATTGAAATTCAGCCCGGAACTCTATTTACAAAATTTTTTGCACGGGAAACGGGAGACACGAATACTCCAATTACATACTAAGTAAATTACAGAACGTGCAAGTTGCAACATTCGCGCGTATGCGAGCTTGTAATTTAGAAAGAAGAGATAACACAATTAAGTTTACCGACAATTTAAACAATATAAAGGGATCTTACCGGCCTTTTACAAATAAAGTAAAACTAATATCAGAGGAAAAAAAGTAACAAAGTTTGAGTCCAATATTTCGCGCCTTCAATGGCAGATAAATCGAGGTGTAGTCGAAGAAAAGTCAACCGTTGCGGGTCAGCATTAATGCAGGCCTGTATATTGGTGAATTCTCTTCATCTGACTTTGAGTACCGTAGAATACACAACCGTGACAATAATTCACACAGTTGGCAAGCAAAAACTCGGGTCGATGGTATTCACGAAATATGCACTTCGCTCTTATTGTTACTGCTACTCCTGCTGCTGACGTCGGTATCAAGGTTGTTGTTGCTTGTCTTTTAGAAGCGCTAGTGGCAGCTCGTAATGGATTTGTGAAGCCGTTGTGTAATTCAACCTGGCTCTAAACCACGTACACTTACAAGGAAAGGTACCCAACCCGAACTCACGGATTTTAATGATTTTTATACATATTGTAGAACATAAAAAAATCAAAGACAGGTATTTTTTTATCGGCTAATTTTCACTTTTAAGGGGTAAAAACCTCCCCTAAAATTAACCCCCAAAAAGCGTTTTTTTTAATATCTCGGCTTAAAATTAATATTTTTCAGTGAAACAAATTGGACATTATTTCTTACAAAAGGAGCAAGTATTTCATGGTGATTTGAAGAGTAAGGGTAGCATCCTCTATTTTTTAGGGGTTGAAAACATATATTTTTTGGCATAATTTTATAATAAAAAAGCTTAAATCGACTAAAAAAAATTGGAAAAAATGTTTAAACATCCATAATAACAAAATTTAGTTGACGTCTTTCGCTATTTTAATAAATGTTACCCCTAAGGGGGTAAACCACCCCTAACACAAAATTACTGTAAATATGTATTTCAATACATAATATTTTGTAAAAAATTTGTATATAGAGATTTTTGAGGTCGCTGATTACAAATCTGTTATCAGATTTTGAAAATTTAAAATGGCGGAACCAATGTGGTGGACGAAAATGTCGAAAAAAAATTTTAACTTTCATAAAAAGTTGTTTACAAATGTGTGATCTTTATAGCCTGTATATGTGAACTAAAGAGCCTTAGACCCTAAACCCCTAAACAACAAATAGGCTAAATAGTCGTGCTTTTTAACCAAACGACTCCAAACCCCTAACCTCCAGGTAGGCCGAAGACCTATACTTTACCGTAGACACGAGTATAGACATATTACCGATATTTTATTCAATCATTTTGTATGTAACAAATAACGTCTCGTTTTATGTTTGGAGATTTTTTATTGACGACATTTTTTTCATTGATACGATTTTCTCTAACAGTTCCTGTGCATCTCAATTGTAATTTTTTCAAATGTATAACAATATCTAAATTTGTAAAAAAGTTGACAAAATATACGTGGTACAGGGGAATTTTCTCAGGAGCTGTCTTTTCGAAAAAAGGTTTCAATAAATTCATAATTACACGAGAACCCAATGCACATTTCGCTAATTTTTCTCCTACTACAGAATTTTTTCCGCAGTATAAATCGAAATTTAATAAATATCCATCAGCAGTGCAAAGACCCCAAAATTTAAGTCCAAATCGCGTAGGTTTTCCGCGTATGAATTGCTTCAATGACGTTTTAGCATATGATTTGGCCATCATTTCATCTATTGACAGAGCTGTTCTTCAGAAACCAAACTTCAGAATATTTCTTTGAAAAATTTTCATCAATTCACGAACACGCCACGCCTTATCGTTTGGATTGTTATCTTTAGCCTTCGAGTACTTCAATTTTGATTTTATATTTTCAAACTTAGATCGTGACATTGCGGAAGAAATTATTTGACAAGACAAGAAAGGGTCTGTCGACCAATAATCTCGCTGACATTTTCTTTTATTGAAAGAAGTGATTATAATAATTCCAATGAATGTATTCAACTCAGCCAACGATAAATTTAAACCATTTTCTTTGCATTCATCGATAATATACTCCTTCATTTCAATTGAAAAAAAAATATCAAAGAGTTCCCTTGGCTCACTCTTTCGTATATTATTTTTTGCACTTTCTGTCAATAAAATTTTATCGGTACATTTATCGGAATATGTCCTTTCACCATCTACCCAATCAAATACATGTTCATTTTCTAGCTTCGCTTGATCTTCTTGATAATTTTTTTAAACTTTCTGGTAAATAATTCTCGGTAATTTTGCGTCAGAATAATTTTCAGAATCAGAATCAGAGTCACCTGATGAACCGGAATCATCTGCATTTGGTATCAAAACCGTTTCATCATCCTCTGAGGTTTCAACCTCAGAATCAGAAGAAACAGATCGTCTCGTACGCTTTTTTGACATTATTATGAATGTTATTGTGACGAACTATTCAATTGAAGTATTTTACTTGTACTATGGATAATAACTTTTTTTGCCCAATTTGACAAATCGTATCTGAGGACTACAATGAATACATAACATATATTGAAATTTCGAATGTACATTGACCAAAAAACATTTCAAGATAGTTGACTAATTTTACTAACACATAAAAGCAGACCAATTCGAAACGTTATTATCTAATGCCAGCAACAAGTGTCCACCATTGGAAAATGCATGTAATCAAGTTTTTATTCATATATGTAAAAATTTATCGTTAAACTTCAACAAATTTGTGCACCGATGGTTGATGATTTCACCATGAATTCATGCGATTTCTGCCTGAAAAAATATCATAAAGTTTGAAAATGCGATTTTTTTAAGATTTTTATGCAAAAAAATCGCCATATCTTTTTTTTCAATAGAAATTTTCGAATTTCGAGCCCAGATTCTGATTTAGCAGACAAAAATACATAAAGATTGATATGTCGGACCCAGTTATTACTTCGTTGAGTACCTGAAATTCAGCTACGAAAAGTTAGTCTAAAATCGACCGTCTTGGTCGTTAATGGGTTAAGATAGGTCTTTACCCTCAACTATCTTTTCCATTGTCCTAGCTTCTTTTGTCTTCGGTGGTGCTCGGACACCTACTTTCCGGGTCCGAGTCCACCTCGTCTGTCAGTCGTGTTCAGCATTGTCGTTTGTCGTCCGTTATAGCTTGTCTCAGCCTTTTTCTGGCAAGTTTGTATGCCTCTAAGGCTTCTTCGTCATGTCTGTTTCTTTGTCTTTGTGCCTGTCTACGTCGCCGGTGACATTCGCGTCTGATGTCTGCAATTTCTTGCGTCCACCAGTAAATCTGTCGCCGGTCGCGTCCGTATCAATTTTTCGGCATCGTAGCTTCGCATAGGTGACGGAGGTATTTTTCCGCCTCCTCAGCTAAGTTCTCCGCCGAGTCACGGTCCGTACCACTTCGAATGGTTTCCGTAAAAGGCTCTGCGTTTTGCAGTAGTCTGTCGAGTTCTTTTCTGTCCAGGTGTTTCGTGTCCCATCGTACGTTACCTCTTCGTCTAATCGTCTTTTCGTCTGTCACTTCAAAGATGATGTATTGGTGATAAGTAGCTGTATATTCCTCGATCACTTTCCATCCTCTTATTCGCGTAAGTAGTCTGTCTGTGGCCAAGGTCACGTCTGGTATAGATTGACCCCACCCCGGTCATCTGAATGTCGCCGTCTTTCCCTCGTTCACCACTACTAGTTCCAGCCTCTCGGCCATCTCTAGTAACAGTCGCCCGCATCTGTTTGTCGTGGGCATACCCCAATCAATCGCCCGCCACGATCGTATTTCCGGGTATATCCCTCATGGCGTCTTCGATATCTGCGTTCTGTTGGCATACTCCAACGCGGAATAGTTCACCCAAACATAGTCCGCCCTGGACCTGCTTGCCGATACTCGCATTGCTTCGTTTCCGCGTACCTACACCGCCGTCGCGTTCGATTTGCTAGTGAACCACGATGGCTCAGGTCTGTTCCTATATTGTTCGCTTACAACAAGCACGTCTGCGTTCGTCTCCGTCGTAATTTGAGGGAGGAGCATGTGTTCTACGCTACTCCTGTTCACATTGCATTGTAGTATCGTCAGGGTCATTTTTTCTGTTTCGTTTTCAGTTCAATCAGTGCTGCTCTGTATACGGCGCATCCACCTGGTCCAGGCACGTGGGCCAGGTTCTGTCCTTCTATCCCCTTACAGAGGAAGCAGTCAGTAGGGTTTTTACACTCCTTTTCCACGTGACCCGTGTGTCCGCATTTCATGCAGCAGTTCTTTCTGTCCGGCCCTTTACATTCCCTCCGCGTATATCCGTACCTGAGACAGTTAAAGCATCTTTGAGGATGAATGCGGAGTCGAACTCGCAATTCATCCATCCTATTTTGATGCGTTTTTTGCTTATCAGTCTCGTTGCTTCCGTCGTGTCGAACTCGCAAACGGTTCGCGCATTCCCGTATGCGTTTGACGCAAAGAGATGCACTTTCCGTTGCGAGTCCGTATTTAGTTCACGATTTATCGCGTTCGCGATGTCCTGTATCGTTGTGACACACAGTCCAAGTCAGCAAACTCCAGCGTCAC